TTTGAGTTCGAAGCAGTATAGATACCTGCTTTTGCTATACATGAAACTATAATATTTCATTAAGTTATTACCTATACATTAATTTCCTTAGAATTAATTTCAATGTGCAACAGATAGTTTGCTATCTTCTTTAGTGCTTACTTACATTTTTATGTTTGCTGCCATGGCAGGTAATTACTCCCAGGCTCTTATTTTACAAAGGATATAGTTAAATAAGGGAGAGGGTAAAAAGAAGAGGGCAACAATAATCACAAATTAAGTGGGTATGACAGGAACATTCAAAATAAGTTATTAAAGCTGACATTGAAAGGTGGTTGTTGTTAGACGCTGTTGACTCAGTTCTGACTCATATCCACCCCATGTGCAACAGAACAAAATACTGCCTGGTCCTGCACCATCCTCACAATCATTGCTACGTGTTGAGCCTACTGTTGCAGCAACTGTGTCAGTTCATCTCCTTGAGGGTCTTCCTTTTTCTCACTGACCATCTACTTTACTAAGCATGATGTCCTTCTCCACATTTAAAGTACAAGAGATGAAGTCTCCCCATCCTCTATTCTGAGGAACATTCTGGCTATACTTCTTCTGAGACAGATTTGTTTGTTCTTCTGGAAACCCATGGAATATTCAGTATTTTCCACCAACACCCTAATTCAAATGCATCAGTGATTCCGTTTTCCTTATTCACTGTCCAGCTTTTGCATGAATATGAGGCAACTGGCAAAATATGTCTCGTGGCAGGCAAATCTTAGTCCTCAAAGTAACATCTTTGCTTAACACTTTAAAGAAGTATTTTACAGCAAACTTTGAAAGATACTGTTGTTTAAATATTCACCATTATCTATTTTAAATGAAAAACACTTGAAATAGAACTTGAACTGGTATAAACTGATTAATGAGAAGGTGCTTAAAATAAACCCTGCCTTTAATATAAAAAATGTGTTCACCTCCAAACTATCCATATGGCACTATTTATTTCACTGGTATTTGATTAGGTTTCATTTTCTTGGGAAACCAAAAGAACAGATTTAAATCTACTGTACTCCCTCTTGGAACAGTTGTGTAAATGAACATATTAGATCTTTCTAAAATAAGGGTATCTAGTGCTGCTGTAACAGAAATACCACAAGTGGATGGTTTTAACAAACAGAAAGGTATTCTCTCATGGTGTGTGATTGTTGTTGTTAAGTGTCGTCGAGTCGATTCCGACCCATAGCGACCCTGTATAGGATTTCCAAGGAGCAGCTGATGAGCTTGAACTACTGACCTTATAGTTCAAACGGCTTTGCAGTCTGGCACATTAACCCACAGCTGGTGTAGGAGGCTAGAAGTCTGAATTCAGAGCAGACTCTGGAGAAAGGTCCTTGTCTCTTTTCAGCATCTGATGGCCTAGCATTCCTTATAGATCTCCATTATGTCATGGTATTAATCTTTCCTTGTATCTAAGAGCTTCAGTGTAGGGACCCTAGGTCTAAAGGACAAACGTCACTCTTTTCTTTCTTGGTGGTAGAAGGTCCCTCTAAGCTCTGTGAGACTGCTTAATCTCCTTCATATCTCAAAAGAGGTTGCCTCAAAATACAACCTACAATCCTGTAAATTTCATCCAGGCTCATTAACATCAATCATAAAACTGATGTGGCATAGGGCAAATAAAATCAGTTTGAAAACCATATTGTCTGAAAGTAATAATGCTTTCTTTCACTGATGTCTGCAGTGCTGTCAGATTTTCAGTGCCAAGTAGTGACAAATTAAGGAAGAGAAAACAATTATTATAGCAAAATTAAAACAAGTCAAGCCCGTAAAATGGGAGAAAAAGAAAAGCTTTACATCCATAATGAGAGTACCAAAGAAGTAACCCTAAAATGAGTACAAAAGGCACACTTTTTCCTGATGGGTCCAGGTAAGAGAAGATGGGAGAAAATGCTGATGAATTATTTGATTCAGTTGTTCAGTGGTTGTTAATTGTAACTGCAAAAACTTGGAACTCTAATATGGGTTTAAAATGGACCATTTCTGAAGCAGGAGGGGGGAATCTCACTACCAACAAAGAAGAGTCAGGAGTGAAGCATGTTCTTTGGAGCCTGAGATCCCTGTGCAGTGAACCTTCTCAATCCAAGGACAGACAGCTGTGACACCAGAGGGGTGGCAGAGGAGCAACAGCAGGAGGAGAACCAAGAGCCAGAGCACAAGACAGAGTGGTGGGCTTCCCAGCCCATGGAGCAAGTAAAGCTGAGTGACTTTGGACAAGAGGCTGTGTTGCAGAGAGGAGACACTTAAAATTGGGGAGCAAGGTTTACTAACCCGTGGAATTAGAGCTGAGTGTCTTCAGTCTGAGGCTTATATGGTAGAGTAATGTGCCCTGTGGATATTTATCAGCAACCTGGAGTTTTGTAACAATGTCAGGCAGAAGCCAAACCAAGGAGCCAAAGACCAGAGAGAGAGGCCTGCCTGTCGGCATGACAGAGGCTGTCCTTACCAAAGAACTGTGTCCTGAGCATTTCTGACCCTGAATTGTAACCTGTTAACTCCCCTAATAAACCCCCTGTGAGTGTGGCGTCTGAGTTCTGTGCGGCCACTGTAATCAATTATTGAACCCAGTCCAGTAGAGAGTGCTGTGGGAGGGGTGACTGAGCCACTTTTACACGTCACCTAATGATCTGCACTGTCATCAAGCTTCTCTTGCAACATCTATAGTAGACACCAAGCCGAATTTTTACAATTTCTGTTGAAGTTTGTGGGTTGATAGAATGATAAATCTTAACAGACTCCAGCTTTAAATCTCCACTGGCATTTGCATCCAGTATCATAGTAGATATTTTGTAGCCTTAAACCCTAGTTTTGTGTTTCCTCCTTGGTGATATAGACCCTTACGGACATTTGCTTCCAACAGAGACTGGTTTCATCAAAATTAAATATCTGATCCAAAGGATAAACTTCATCAATCAAATTTCTTAATAATGGAGCAAATGTCTTTGTAGTTTCTTCTACTTCACTCATAGCATCACCAGAGTTTAACATTGGGGAAATCATAGCAGTTCGCGAAGTCACTAAACTAGCCACTATTTGCACTTAATTAAGGCATTTCTGCAGGATTATCAGTTTTTTCTTAATGTATTCAAATATTGCTAAGGCTTTGTTTGAAATTCCTGGCTGCGGCTTTGTTTGACACTCAAGCCATTCAACTGGAAAACATTCCACTTCCTCCATTTCCTTATTCTTTGTTCTAACAGATTTTGTTGTTGTTAAGTGCCATCGTTGAGTCGGTTCCGACCCATAGTGATCCTGTACAAGGTTTCCGACCCATAGCGATCCTGTACAAGGTTTCCAAGGGTGTAAATCTTTACGGGAGTAGAAAGCCTCATCTTTCTCCCACGGAGCTGCTGGTAGTTTCGAACTGCTGACCTTCAGGTTCACAGCCCGATTCGTAACCACTACGCTCCTTAACAGATTTTGTAGCATTGCAGTTATAACCGTTAGACAGTTTTTTCTTGTCTTCCCAGCATAGTCTCTAATTGTGCACAACATTGACTTCTTTATACTAATTGCATGACCAATATCACAAGTTCTTTCATTTATTTAAAAACCTTTTATAATTGCAAGTCTTCTGCAATTGTTAGTTTTTCTTCTTTTAGGTTCCACAAGCAGAAATGTTAATACCAGCATGCTTCTGTAGCACTTGCAAAGTCCTTTGATTACTCATTTTTTGGAATACAAAAATGTTTAGCAAAAACATGCACAAGGATTGGAGGAAACCATGCAATTAAGCACTTCCAAGATAGAACGGTGGCCAAACTGAGCCAAGAGTAAGGATGTGAGGGTGGATGGGTATAATGTAGTTATTGTCATTACGTTTTACTGCATTTGGCTGTTCTTACTTGGTTCAAAGTATCAACTTGCTGGGAAAATTCATAGAAGAGCCAGCACAGTTTTCAGTGCTATACTGATTCTTTTTCCTCTTTACCAATATCATACGAAATTTGTATTCCCGACGTACATTTCAGCTGACTCAACAATACACATGACAATTTCATATTCACAGAGATTACATAAATATATGGAGAATATCATTATAAAATATAAGGGTACTTGGCAGTTTCCATAATGTTCTAAAATTACTGTCATAGAAGACAAGTATATTCTTAATAATAATCTCTAGTTTAATGGTAACTAGAATATTAGGCTGAACACACCTCAGATAGCAAAGACTCTAGGTACTGGGAAGTACCTAGGAAATCATTTACTTCATCTCTTCATTATACAGACTAAAACCAGGAAGTGTGATATGCCTAAAGTTATAATTAGTAGCAGAGCCCATCATATAATTCAGATCCCATGATTCACCTTTCCTGAAATTCTCACTAAATTAGACTACTTTTCTATTTGTCTCTCCTATTGGTACATAACAACAACAACAACATTGGTACTTGATATGGAGCTCTGGTAGCGTAGTGGTTACGAACAGGCTGTGAACCTTAAGGTCAGCAGTTTGAAACTACCAGCTGTTCCCTGGGAGAAAGATGAGGCTTTCTGCTCCAGTAAAGATTTACAGCCTCGGAAATCCTGTACAGGGTCGCTATAGGTCAGAATCGATTCCACGATACATAACCACCACCACCACCACTGGCACTCGACAACAACAACATATGGTAATATGCTGGTTTATTTTCATATATGTTAAAATTAGTGGGCATGATAAAACGATGTAGCTGCACAAGACATTAGTGATTTTTTACAATTTTACCTAATATATTTCTTTAATCTCACAATCCTTAAATAAAATGTATTTTCCAATGATCAGCAATAGCTCGAAGTGTCCCGTTTGGTAAAATGATCTACCTATCTGGACCAGCTATCACTCATACAAAAGCTGTCATCCTGTAAGCATGAATCTACTCATATATGTTACTGCTCAAATAATAACCCAAACCAGTGTGAAGTTCATCTCATTTATTTCACCCTGGACATCCATGTACCCAAATTCTCCACAGATGACACCTCACCTGCTGCCTGGGTTCATCAAGCTCCCTCTCCAAATCTTCCAGCACAATCAGGATTATGCTCCCGCACCCAAGCCCCGAGATCCTCAGGCAGGATGGTCAGAAACTGTTCCAGCACCGGCGATTCCAGGATCTGTTCCTTGGTGTGCATCTCTGGGCTCAGCCACTGATAGCAAAATTTCCGGAGTTGGTTCAGGGCCTCCCTGGGTCCAGGGGTCTCCTGATAGCAGAATTGCCTGAAGCACTAACGAGCGAGCTCCCTGGTTTGAGACACACTGCTCTGCTCGGTGGGCAGGATGTGTGATCCCAAATACCGTCTTCTTCCTTAACCTTTACTTTGATAATCTCCCCTGGTTTCTCTGAAGCTAGGCCAGTTAATGCAGGGACAGGCTCAGAAGCTGTCGCCATCCCGAACTTAACTCAGAAAAAAGTTCTCTCCAGTTGGAATTCTAGGTAATGGATGATTTTACGTGAGCTTCCCAACCCCCGCTTGGTCAGGAAAGATGTCGCTATAAGAAAAACACAGTTAACATAGAAAAATTACATACGCAGTGAAAAAGGACCTGATTCCGTGCCAACACAGGACTGCAACACGTGCAATCCAACCAAATGTAGTGATCCTCTCTGATAGGAAGACCGGAAGGAGGGAGCACAGCTAACTAGTCACTAAAGCTGCAGGTAACTGGTGAGACAGAAAACAGGTTATCAAGAACACGCTGGCCCTAAAAACAGCCTGAGTATACGAGCGAGTGGGTCCTTTCGAAGGCCGTAAATCTCAGCATCCTGGGCCGGGACGATGAAGACAGCAGGGCTACTCCCGTACTACAAGCTAACTGCAGAGGAAGGCAGGTCGTCTTCCGCGCACACTCCCCCTTCCGTTGGCCGCAGTTTCCACTTCTGAGTGCACACCCCCTCGGGCCAGGTCAGAGACTTGAACCGAGAACAACAGTACAAACACAACCTCGCAGGGTTGACCAGTTCCGTCAGGGCGGACAACAGACATTCACTTCCGGTCCGCTCTAGGATTCTGGGTGGTGTAGTCATCTCTGTGGTCGTGGTACCGCGGATGTAGTAAACTTGGGAACCTGTAATTTTTCTACTGTAACCTGTAGAAAAAATGTACTCTCCAGTTGACCAGTTAGCTATTGTTCTGGTAAAAAAAAAAAAAAAAATTCACGCTGGTAGTAGTGCTAATGCCAAAGGCTGCTCTAGGTTTTTCCATTACTGTTAAACCTCCGCTGTCGCTTAGTCCCTTAAGACTCACTGCGACATCCTAAGATTTGCATTGAAGGACACCTGCAGCAACTACCAAGTAGGTTCATCTACGGGTTATTCCCTGACCTTTTCTCTTTAGTTTCCGCCCTCCCTCTCCTTTCCCAGACACTATATGCCAGACTTGGAAGCGAACTATAGGATCTAGTCCAATCTTTTAATTTTACGAATGGGAAAACCAAGATCCTTAAAGGGCGGACTTTCCTTTAATGTGCTGTTATTAAGTGCCCTTGAGTCAGTTCTGACGCATAGTCACCCTGTATAAAGTTTCCGAGGAGCGGTTGGTGGGTTTGAACTTCCAGTCTTGTGGTTAACAGTCAAGTGCTTATCCTACAGCGATGCACCAGGACTCCTTTCACGAGCAGCAGAAAGCACACATTGTGAACCGTGACTGTAATCGATTGTGGGAAAGTGGCCCTAAAAAATAGCAAACAAAACGTGGTTGAGTTTTCCGAGCTTAAGAGTCACCAAATTGGAGTAACCAGAAAATTCCCAGCAAATTTATGCTCCTCCAAGTTGGCGGTTCAAGCTCACCAGCCGCTCATCGGCAACACAATACAGGGTCGCTATGGGTCGGAACCGACACGACGGCACTTAACACGAAGCAGTTTATGTTTCGGGAAAAGCATAAATATTTGAAGATGCACAGAACTGGCGGTGCTAGAGTGTTTACAACTACAAAGGAGAGAAAGGTAAGAGCAAAACACAGCGGTTATGAGTTTTGACCAGAGGTCTGAGAGCAATGAAACCACTGTTGTGTCCGCTTTGGATTCTGCTTCCTCTTCCCCACCCCAACCTGATCCACAAACCAAAAACTAAGACAGTTTGCCTTCCTGGCTGATTTTTCTGACGTAGGTCGCCAGGCCTTTTTTCCACGGCACCTCTAACCATTACTCTTCAGGTTAGCTGGAAAACTTAATGGTTTGCACCAACCAATCTGCCCCATACTAGAATGTTAAATGCATACTAGAAGCCCAAAGAGTATTTGTTGGATCACTGAATGACTCCCCTTCCCTATCCACTCTTTTCTTCTACTTTGGTTACTACTGATTACTTTTTGGCATGTCTACTTCCGGAGGCGACTTTGACGAATCAGAACATTTCTTCTGGAAATCTCAATATCAAAAATTTTTATTCGTGAATCGTCTTGATTGAGTTGCTATATTGAATGAAATTTAAATTTAAAATATTTTTTATCTACGTGTCCAGAGACCACACATAACAAAATATTGCTCTCAACTTAAAAAATAAAAAAGTTCAAATGAATAAAAACAGAACAACTCTTTTCATAAATATAGCAAATATTTTATTGCAATAAAAGAAATAAAAATTAAGCTGTACTGCAATATCAATTTTCATTTACTAAATAATGAGATCACAAAATTCTTAAAACAGGATGGTGAGGAGAAATAAAAACTTCAATCATTATTAGTTGGGAGTGTAGATTAATAAAATTCCTTTGGAAGACAACTTTTCAACATCTATAAAGAGTTAAAATGCATATATCCTAGGGCATGGTACAATATCACTTTCACAATAATACAAGTATATGTATTAATCTTTTCACTACAGCACAGTTTGTAATAGTAAAAAATGAAGGAAAACTTAAATACCAATCATTAGAGAGATAGTTAAATAATACACAATAGCTCATATATTAGAATATTGTACAATCTAGGAAATGAATAAGCTATCACTTTTTGGTGATACAGAAAGTTTTCTTATACATTGGCTATGGGGAAAGGACAAGGTACAGAACAATGTGCATAGTATTGTTATTGTGTTATTTCTTTTTAAGATAAGGAATATATTTTTATATGATGTACATACATACGTGCTTAATATGTTCCTTGAAGGAACTGATAGCAGTTCCTATCTGTGGGGAGTGTGAGTAGGTGGTGGCAAGATTTTGCTATATAGTTTCAAAAATACTTTTTGAACCATGTAAAGTAGTATCTATTCAAACTTTAAATAAAAGAAATATTGTTGTTGTTGTTAAGTGCCGTCAAGTCTATTTTGACTCATTGTGACCCTGTATAGGGTTTCTGAGGAGTGGTTGATGAGTTTGAACCACCAACCTTGTGCTTCAAACTGACCTTATATTCCAGTGCTTACCCTACAGTGCCATACCAGGACTCCAAAAGAAATATACAAGTATATTTTCCCTGGATGTCTGACAAGATGGAAATCATAAATAGAAACAATCTTGACAGTCTTCCCTACCTTCCTTAAGAAGGACTTATTGGATCTGAGAAAGTTGTAGAGAGTATATTTTTATCATTTTGTCATATCTGTTAGCAGAAAGCTCTTCAAAGCTAGAGATTCTTAAACAGTAATGGTTATTTTAATTTAGAGTTAGCATGTTGTTGTTATTAAGTGCCATCGTGTTAGTTCTGACTCACAGCGATGCTGTATAGGGTTTCTGAGGAACGGCTAGGGGGTTTGAACCACCCTCCTTGCAGTTAGCAGTCCAGTGCTTATTCTACAGTGCTCCACCAGGACTCCAGCATACATGGTGTGAAAATAACCCACGATGTACAGTATAAGTAATATGTTGTACTATCACTGTGGATGACTTTATTATTTACTTTAAGTTTGCCAAACAACCTTTCTATAGCCCTCAGGTCATTATTCAATTGTTTCCTCAAAAAAACCTGGGGACTTTGTGGTGAGTATAAAAACATTAGGATGTCTCCTGCGCTCAAGCAGGTTACTGTCTAAAGGAGAGAAGAAATTCTATACAGACAACTCTACTCTTACTTTTACTTATAATTGCTACAGAGGAGGAATTGTCCTTAGGTTGTTAAGGCAACATTCCAGTGAGTACTGAACTGGGAAGATAAAGTTGGCACATTATTTAATTCTTTGGTAATGAACCTAAAACGGAGGATTAAAGAAAACTTCTACCTGTCGACGAGGGTGGGATTCGAACCCACGCGTGCAGAGCACAATGGATTAGCAGTCCATCGCCTTAACCACTCGGCCACCTCGTCAGGTACAAAAGTAGTTCCTTCCTTTTCTTCCTCCTCAATGTTTATTCTGTAGTAATTATATTCAATTACATTGTCTTTGATTTAATCCTGACTTAATCCTCACAACCACACCCAGAGTACATTTCACAACAACTACAATACTGAAAAAGTATGCTTAATGTTACTTGGCACATATAAAATGAACAGGTTAAACCAGTACATTCAGGTACCAAACAGTTCTTCCAGAGATTTATAACAATCTCTCTGCAGCAGCACCTTGCATTCGAAGAGTCAATTTCCCGCCTACTGGCTCTGTGATTCCTTTTCACTTGCTTCTGAAGTATGTTTGACAGCTAGGAGACACCTTTATTTTTTGTTGCCTTCTTTCAGGCATGGCATTGATCAATTTATAATCTGTCACCAATGGTAAGAATGGTTGAAGAAAATGCAAGGACCCTAAAGGAACTAATTTGATTTTAGAGAGGATTGGAATGTTAAGGCACAAGATTGATTTGCTGTTAACATTGAGAAGGGCCTTGGTGGGTGAGGGTGGAGATATCCCCACTGGTCCACTGATTAAGGCGTCAGTATTCCTCTGTCCTGACTGTGGCTCTGTCTCACACACTGTAAAATTAGGCAGACCACTTTACCAATTCCATCCCATCCTTTCATCCTACCCCTACATTTTTAGAATCATCTTTCCAGGAGTAAACTGAATTTAACAACCTCAGATAAACTCAGCAGGAAGAAATCCCTTGCACTCTACCAAGTGTTTGTTTTTCTATACTTAAAGCAGAATAGGGGAGAGAAAAGAAACTTTCTTGCCAAAATGTATTGCTTTTCTGTTCTTAAGTAATCTCTTCCTCTGCCCTCAGCTTTGGCAAGAAGGATCTTCTTTTCTCCCTTTTATGTTCCTTCATTGAATGAGGGGGCTTCATAAAGTTCATGGAAATTTTAAATTAAAAGATAATTAATTCTTTCCATGAACTTTTTGAAGCTTCCTTGTGTTTTCACCTTGAATTTAACAATTATCCCTTCTAAGAAATTCATCTATAATCCCTGTATTAGAAGGCTGAGGATTTATCTAATTAGTGAGTCAAAAAAGCATTTCTGTTTTTAAATGAGGTCAGTTGTTATGATTTTCCTTAAGCTGTTCTGCTGCTC